CGGACGTCCGCCAAATCACACCCCAAACGGACAGAAGAGGACGTCCGTTTGGGGTCGAAATGGGTCATGCGGTGGAGTTGGCCTTAGAGCATGTCCAACAAACGGTGTAAGAAGTTGATGCCCTAAAATAGGAGGGAGGGAGGGAGGGAGGGAGAGAGGGAGAGAGAGAGAGAGGGGGAGGGAGGGAGAGGGAGAGAGAGAGAGAGATAATATCAAAACAAATGGAACGGAAATACTCCCTCTGTTCACTTTTATAAGACCTCGAAGACATTTCAGACGATGTGCAAAACAACCTATATTAAGTTGTCTGAAATGACTTACAAAAGCGAACGGAGGGAGTAGTACTTATTACATAGTTCATCAATTGACAACATCAAATTCAAGACAATTTGTTCATCAGACATAACACATGGTGCATCACACATGAAATGAAACATAGAGATAAAACTAGCGGTCTTCACCCATTCCATGTCCACCACTCCTCGATGAGGTCTCTTTGAAGATCTTCGTGAGTATCTGAATATCAGAAGTCATGGTAAAGCTCAAGAAAGTTTCGGATGCGGCCTTCTCTTCTACGCGACTCCACCGGCTTTCTCATCAATTCATAGGAGTAACCCAAATCTTGCCCACGTTCATACTCCATGATCATGTTGTGCATGGTCACGGCGGTTGTCATGATCCTAAAACCTAGCTGATCCTGCACAGTAGCAAAACGGCCTTATATAAAATCTCAAATGCCCTCACCACATCTTTCCTAGCAGTTGCTTGAGCATTATGGAATTAAAGTTCTTTCTTACTTTGGGGGCTTTAAATTGGTTTCACAAAAGTAGTCCACTTCAGATATATCCCATCTGCCAGGTAGTAGCCCATTTTGCTTTTAGGGTAAAATGCAGGTGCTCTGACTTTGCATTATAGATTAGGGTTGTACAAGGAGAAACAAGTTGGAGAGAGAACATGAGGAAGGGTCAAACGAAAAACAAGGTGCAGTCACCCTAGGCGCTGCATATACATGCTTGATCAACTAAGGTTCTCCTGCATTCAGTCTAATCAGCTGCAGGTCATTGATCAAGCCACCTACAACAGAGGCTGGGCAAGATGCCGTATTAGTGATTCGCCTGTTCCTCTCATTCAAAATGTGCCACGCGAAGTATGCTCCCATAACAGCCGTCTGCTTTGGCCCGTCGGCGAGGTGTTGCCACCATTTGTCAATGGAGTGGAAGGAGTTGATGGTTACATGGCGGGTAGCAGGAATCGAAGTACCAAGGTTGTACCACACTTCAGCAGCGAAACGGCATTGACAGAAGAGGTGAGCCGCGGATTCTATAATCTGATCACGGAGGGAGCATTTGTCATCATGCTGGCTGCCCCAGTCGCGGAGTCTATCGGCAGTTGGCAGTCTGTTTTGAATTTGCTTGAAACTGCACCGATGGTGATTCCTCATTGGCTAACCGTGAAAAGGGTGGTGTTCGCTGGAGCACATTGATATCATTGCAAGATCTAGGCATGCCAAATTTATGTCTCCTAATCAGTCACAACTTCAAAAATGATGGTGGCCTTCTTACGTCCTTCGTACTGTCTATGCCATGTTGTAGGACAGTTCTTGCATCTCTAGTGCATGCAATCAGTTGAGCCGAGCATACTTGAAAACACGTGCTTTGTTCATCTTCAAAAGTCTCTGAGTGTCCCGAGGCTTTCTTTAGGAAAGAGGCCTAGGCTAGCAAGAGATCCAGATTTATCCACCTCCCGGCGCCACATAGGCCACCAGAGCGGAGGTGAGGGAATCCGATCGTAAAAGAAGGAGGAGAGCAACCTTTTCTTCTAGCGACTGGGGTATCAAAGCTGCTATTGATGAAATACATCTCTAGCGGATAGTACATTTCCTTTGACGCTAACACAATGAAACCAGAGCAAAATGAATTAAATGCAAAGGACACTTGTGAAAAATATGCTACTTTTCTTCGTAAGTACTTCACCGTTCTGATATGTAAGATGGATTTTGATTGTCCAAGTTTATCTATGACCATATATTTAGTTTACCTTTAGTCATATCTCGATTCCACCCAGGTGAATGGCGGGCGACCTCGCGGAAGACGGGCGAGCGCGCGGCGCTGCCCCGATCTCCCTTCTCCGACCTCCCCTTCAGCAGCTGCGACCAGATCCGGGATCCCCTCGACGTCCTCTCTTGGCGGCTGCTCTTCTCCCGCGGTGGCTCCCTCCGCTATGGCTCCTCCTCCACGCCCGAAGCCGGCTTCTGCGCCGCCGTCGGCGGCGGCAGCCGCGGCCTCCCCAGCCCCATCCGCCTCCCTCCCGGCCTCCTGCGCTCCACCATGCTCGGCACCCCCGTCGTCACCGGCACCGGCTGCTGCTCCGGCCGCGCTGGGCGCGGATACCAATGGGCAGAGGATGCTTCCTTGGCCAAGCCGATGCCCGCGACCAGGCGGTCCCCCGCGCCGGCAACAGCCCCTGCGGCCCCGTCGGACACCGCCCCTCCAGCCACCTCCAAGCTCATGGTGAAGCTGCGGCCGCCGCCCGCCGTCGTCCCCCGAGGTTCGACCCCGTTCGGCTTCTCCAGCAGCATTCCATCAAGTGAAGCATCCATTCTGGAACTGGAGTCCACGTCAGAGTCTCTTCCGTGTGTCCACGCGACTGCCGTTGGCAACGTCGTCCCGGCGATGGCACCGGCCCTTCTCCAACAATCTGCGCCACAAATCCCGCGTCCGTCGCCGCCACACTCGCTCTCCCCCGAGCTTGCGACTGCGGATTCTTTGGCACTGCCACCCATCGCTGCTGCGCTGGCTGCGACTGCCCTTGCTTCCCGCAGGTCAGACCCGACCATTGGGGGGCGGAAGGCAACGACATCCTCGGACGCTGCGCCCACTGCTCCTGCGTCGCAGATCATTGCTGGAGGCGACCGATTCATCCCGCCTGTGCGCCCTGGTTGGGGGGATTGGCGTGGATGCTTTTGTCGGGATGACGCACCTACCGTTGGGTGTTGTGCGGCCGCTCCGCGCGGGGATGAGCTGGGGGGCTGGCAGCTCGTCTCGAAGGGGCGTCGTTCGGCGCCTCCTCCGGCTTTTCATCGCCCTACCTTCAATGCACGGCTGTCTCCTCCGACATGGCTGAGAGATAGATGTTTCCAGTGTTTGTGTCGGGGTCATCGAGCACACTCTTGCAGGGATCCAATCCGTTGCAGGAATTGCCTCCGTTTCGGCCACATTGCTCGCTTTTGTCGTGCGAAGCAACCCGT